CTCTGTGAATCTAAAACAAGAAACATCAATATTGTTTCTCTATTAAGTAATTTACATCAAACTCATCATGATTCATTGTATTGCAAAAATCTACAAAAAACAAACATGTGAATAGTGTTGTCTATTCTTTAATAAATACCGAACTCACTAGTATTCATTTTCTCATATGAACTGGAAAGAAGTGGTATAAATATAACTTCGAATTTATAAATTTAAATCGAACTCACCACTCTTTTGTTCTAGCACATGACTCTAAAACAAGAGATACCAATATTGCTTCCTATTAAGTAATTTACTTAGGATTATCCAAAAGTAGTGAGCCTGATATTGTGTTTTGGTATAGACCGCTTGGAAAAATTTTCTTTTTTTATGAAAAGATAGAGCGTCTTTCGCTGCATCTTTCTATGCTATTTGATCAGTATTAAACTTACATCATAATAATAAAATTTCGATAAGAACTATTTTTGTTGAAAACCAGTTGGTAGCATTTAGATCATAATGGATGTGGTATTTTTGCATTCCACTTTATTATCACATAATATGTTGTGTTGAAAAAACAAAATATATCAAAAGGTGCAGCGTGAAAAGCTCTACGATTTATAAAGTACCGCTTATTTTATAGTTGTACGTTTTGTTTTAAAAACGAACAAAACTTTGAGCTATCAAATTTCGACGTTGCGAAAACGAGATTATTTTTTTGGTAAAGGATAAATTCCGTTTTTTCTATCTCATTTTTTTATTACTTAATATGTTTTATTTTAAAAAGCAAAATACACTGCAAGATGCAGAGTGAAGAGCTCTACAATTTACAAAGAACAATGGCACAAAAATAAGATAGAAAAAAACCGAATTCCCTTTTTTATCCAAAACACAGTCTCGTTTTCATCATGTCGAAATTTGGTAACTCAGAGTTTTGTCCATTTTTAAAACAAAAAGTACAACTATAAAAAAGCGGCACTTTATAAATCGTAGAGCTTTTCACGCTGCATCTTCTGATATATTTTGTTTTTTTTTTAATACAACGTATTGAGTGATAATAAAATGAAATGCAAAAGTGTCCCATTTTTATGCCACACTCCTTATGATCTAAATGCTACCAACTGGTTTTCAACAAAAATAGTTCTTATCGAAATTTTATTATTATGATATAAGTTTAATACTGATCAAATAGCATAGAAAGATACAGCGAAAGACGCTCTATCTGTTCATAAAAAAGAAAATTTTTCCAAGCGGTCTATACCAAAACACAATATCAGGCTCACTACTTTTGGAAAACCCTAAGTAGTTGGCGGTGAGACTAAAAAAGACTCCTTTGATCAAATAATATTCGTCAAAAATCTATCGTTCATACTTGTTACTCATACCTAAGTTTCAATTGAAATGACCACGACCACATGGTGCAGCCCTTTATATAGAGGGCATGAGACTGAAAAAACTAAAAAAGACTCTTTTGATCAAATAATATTGGTCAAGAATCTATCGTTCATACTTGTTACCCATACCTAAGTGCCAATTGAAATGACCACGAGCAAATGGTGCAGTCCTTTATATATTAGAGCATGAGACTGAAAAAGACTAAAAAAGACTCTTTTGATCAAATAATACTTGTCAAAAATCTATCGTTCATACTTGTTACTCATACCTAAGTGTCAATTGAAATGACCACGAGCAAATGGTGCAGCCCTTTATATATTAGAGCATGAGACTGAAAAAGACTGAAAAAGACTCTTTTTTGAACAAATAATACTCGTCAAATTCACTTGCTCAAAATTGCGATTCTTGTTTATTATTTAAAAGTGAAAATAATGAAATTAGTTGTGGTTTTATAGTGGCCATTGTGTGTCATTCAATCAAAGAATATCGTCTGGTCATCCAAAAGGTTTATATCAATCGTCAGGACTCTCTTACCTTTAAGGGTAAACGTATTATCAATCCATTCATTTTTTGGGGATATTCAACAGATCCTCCTCAATTAGTGGTAATACCTCCCGATCATATTCTTGTGAAGCTTGCATATAAAAAAGAAAATGATCTGTTTCATTTTTTTCAGTTTCCTAATACGGTAGAAAGTACCTAAATAAAATATTTTTTTATTTATATTCTACTGAGAAGAATAGTACTCTTGTTTTAAGATGTGAATCAAATGTTCTTCATCTGCAATTCTTTCTAATGAATCAATTGAAGAGTATATAAAATAATAACTGGTTAGTATGTGAGAAAAGTGACTTATTGAAATGGATCAATAAATATATAGACAATGTAGTCACAATCTTTTGCTCGGCATAATCGTGTTAGTGGCGTAAGCAGGAGATCGTGGGTAGTAGGGCAGTGTCTTACGATGTTGGGAAATTCTCAGCTTCTATTGGTAAAAATTTTTCACTCTAAATTTGGATATCTAAATTTTTTTCCTGCAAAAAATTGAAGTTGTTTTATTGAAAATTTAGAGAAAAAATTCTTATGTACAATCAGTCTTGATAGGGAAAATACTTTTTTCTTGTCAATGATTATTAGCCATATCTAGTGTTACCAGGGTTCCCGATTGTTTTGGGGAGTGGGGGGGGCTAAAAATATGGCAGAAAGTCCGTAATTTTTTCGCAGAAAGTCAGTGTTATTTCTGCTAAATTTCTTGCAGAAAGTCGATTTTCTTCCTGTCAAATTTTTTGCAGAAAGTCCGACTTTCTGCAAGAAATTTAGCAGAAATAACATCGACTTTCTGCGGAAATTCCACAGAAAGAACATCGACTTTCTGCAGAAATTCAGTGGAAAGGACATCAACTTTCTGCGAGAAATTTGGCTGAAATAACATCGACTTTCTGCGGAAATTCCACAGAAAGAACATCGACTTTCTGCAGAACTTCAGTAGAAAGGACATCGACTTTCTGCAGAAATTCGGTAGAAAGGACATCGACTTTCTGCGAGAAATTTGGCAGAAAGAACATCGACTTTCTGCCGAAATTTGGCAGAAAGCATCTCTAATTTGATTTTATTCCAGCAAATTCAGAAATTTTCTACTGGACTGATCTTTAAAAATTTCGCAGAAAGTATTATCAAAAATTTTGGCAGAAAGTCTAGAATTTTGGGAGGGGAAAGCCCCTCCCTGCCCCCCCCTAATCGGGAACCCTGAGTGTTACATTTATTTGTTTTTCTATTATCACGACATAATATTTAGTGTTGAAATAACAACATCAAATATAGGGGAAGGAAAATACTATGAAAAGGATGGTTTTTTTTCTATTTATTGAGTACACTGCGACCATATTTAGTATTACCAAAATGTTGTTGTTGTTGAAATAGTGTTGAACCATTAAGAAAATGTCTAAAATCACGTTTATTAAGACGTTCGTGTTGTGTTTGTTCAATATCATTCTTTGTATCATCTAATGATAATGGATAAGATTGAAAATATATTCTCGACAAAAATTTATAAGGAATAGCTTGTTATTAATCAATACGAATAATTAAAATTAATAATAAATAAATGAATACTGCTATATATTTCATTATATGTTGTTGTATATTACTCGAACGTTATGTAAAAAGAAATAAAATTTATTTTAGTAATCTAAAACAAGTTAATTCTTTTAAATGATTAATGAAAGAATAAACTTTCTTTTGTTGTCAATATTTAAATAATTTTTCCTACAGAAGAAAAAATTAAACATCATGAAGGAAGAATTTAACGTTAGCTATATAATATTAATAAAAAGTTTAAATATCAAATTTATTTAGGATTGTCTCATTAGTAACCGGAGTTATCATTATGATATCTTTTCTGAGTGTGTGTTTTACAACATTTGACAACATTGAAGATTTTATATTTATAAAAGCAGAAATTTATTTATTTTTAATAGATAACTTTATTTCACTTACTTGAGACAATCAATAAACTCTATGAAAGTATTTCTATTAGTCATTTTGAAGAGGATTTTATATGTTTAGATATATATGAAATTAATTTACAGCATTTTTTTTAACGTAGAATAAATTTTTAAAAAGAATCTTAACGAGAGAACATTCCTTATTGTTGAACACCCAGCGAATTTATAGTTTGTCGCTATGTAGGATTCAGTGAGACTAGTAGAAGCCAAAAAAAAGGATTTGTGTCAGTACCTTGCTCTTTCAAGGTTAGGATCATTTTACTGAATTTTCGGTCGTAGAGGCAAGTCAAAGATCGAATGGTATAGATTGGTGTTTATTAAATTATTCTAACAGTACGATTTCTTTTTTCGAGATAATGAATCATCAAAAGAGTGGGTGTTCTGATTTTTATCCGAACATTATGAAAGTTTCTTGATTGTTTAATATCTCGAGAAGGAATCGTACTGTCAGAATAATTTAATAAACATCATATTTATACTTGGATAGGCGTGGCACTTTCACTTTCACAAAGAAAAAGAAAGAAAATGTTTTGCGTTTCCTTTCTTTTTAAGGAAAGGAAAGTTGTAACCTTTCATATTGTTAGAATTTGACAGTATCTGTCTTATCAATTACAAGTAGAATAAAACAATCATTATAATAACAATAGGC